GTGGAGCAGGTGAAAGTTCGATCGGGCGTCGGCTGCTGCTCGCCCCACTGTTTATAAGACTGTGTTTGTAACAGAGACAGAGACGCCAGCAAAACCTCGTCTAATCATATTTAATACAAACGGGATCTAAAATGAATATTGTTAAAATGCAGATTTGCGCTGTAATCAGACTGTTTATATAAATGGACATAAATGGCTGATCCGCTCGCTGCCGTGTTCCAAATTGTTAGTTTCTTCGGTCAATTAACATAATCATTAATCATACTACAATGATTTAACGCAGAAATTATGCACAACACTAAAGTTATTCTGCAAACCGGGGGAGTTTAGGCTGAAGTTTGAACACTTATTTTGCACATTATTAACATATCAACAGAATACATGGTTACAATTAATCAGAAAATTGCATCAGGTAAGCTACATGATTTATTGTATTTCTCTATATTTCCCTATAATTCTGGTCTTATACTTTTTTTTTTATTTATTTTTTTTATAGAAAGTGAGCCTGGGAGCACTTTTGGCTCCAGCAACTCTGGCTCCAATTGACTTTACATTGAAATTAGTCTCCCCTCTCTCTGTACCTGCAGCTGAGCCTCATCATGTTGGTCTTAACATGTTCGTATTCACCCGCTCTACATGATCCTGCTGTTTTTGTTTCACTGTTTTGCCCGTAAATAAAGAGTGATGAGATTGACATGTGCTTTACTGCTTCACTCACATGGAGCTGAGACACAATTTTCATATGACGAGAAGAACGTTTATGTACATTTATGAGTGCCTACTTGTACCACTCTTAAGAAAGGAAACATTTCTTCGGTGGCCTATTTCAGTGAGCAAATGTGTCGGCGTTGGGCTGTATTGGTTGTAACAGGTGCTTGTTTCCGCACAATACTCAGCCCGGTCGGATGAATGTGACTTGACTGTTCAGACTGAAGTCGCATGTCAAAAGATCAGATATGTATCGGTTTTAGGAGCACAGATCCAAGTGTCCTGGGTCACATTTGAAAAAATCAGATCTGTGTCGTTCAGTGTCATTAAACGATCAGATACAGGAGCATAGGGGACAAAAAAAATCGGATTTGGGTCACTTCAGGCTGCAGACATTTCTCTATACACTAGGGCGCATCATTTGCACAGTTTTTTTGAAAAAATTTTGAAAATCAATCTGTACCTAGTATCAATTTTTACACTTGCCAAAGTAAAGTTCCATCAGATATTTCATGACATTCTCTTGATGTGTACTGGGTCCACCAAGCCTCTGAAGTTCAGTGCCTGCAGAAGACTGAAAACTGAGTTGAAAAAAATCTGTTTTTCTTTAATAAAATAAAAAATAATTAATTTAACCCAATAGTATCAATGGAAGTTGAATATAAATATGGACATTGTGGATCATGTCTCTGTTATCATGAGTTTCTGAGATATGGAAAAAGTGGAAGTTTCTTTGGGACTTCAAAGGACCTTAAATAAACAATTATTATATAAAAAAATAAAATAACAATAGTAGTATTAGTATTATAGTAGTAGTAGTAGTAGTAGTAGTAGTAGTAGTAGTAGTAGTAGTAGTAGTAGTAGTAGTAGTAGTATTAGTAGTAGTAGTAGTAGTAGTAGTAGTAGTAGTAGTAGTAGTAGTAGTAGTAGTAGTAGTAGTAGTAGTAGTAGTAGTAGTAGTAGTAGTAGTGGTAGTAGTAGTAGTAGTAGTAGTAGTAGTAGTAGTAGTAGTAGTAGTAGTAGTAGTAGTAGTAGTAGTAGTAGTAGTAGTAGTAGTAGTAGTAGTAGTAGTAGTAGTAGTAGCAGTAGTGTAGTGGTAGTAGTAGTAGTAGTAGTAGTAGTAGTAGTAGTAGTAGTAGTAGTAGTAGTGTAGTAGTAGTAGTAGTAGTAGTAGTAGTAGTAGTAGTAGTAGTAGTAGTAGTAGTAGTAGTAGTAGTGTAGTAGTAGTAGTAGTAGTAGTAGTAGTGGTAGTAGTAGTAGTAGTAGTAGTAGTAGGTAGTAGTAGTAGTAGTAGTAGTAGTGGTAGTAGTAGTAGTAGTAGTAGTAGTAGTAGTAGTGTTATAGTGGTAGTAGTAGTAGTAGTAGTAGTAGTAGTAGTAGTAGTAGTAGTAGTAGTAGTAGTTAGTAGTGGTGTAGTAGTAGTGTGGTAGTAGTTGTTGTAGTTGTTGTAGTTGTAGTTGTTGTAGTAGTTGTAGTAGTTGTAGTTGTTGTAGTAGTTGTTGTAGTTGTTGTAGTTGTAGTTGTTGTAGTTGTTGTTAGTTGTTGTAGTTGTTGTAGTAGTAGTTGTAGTAGTTGTTGTAGTAGTAGTTGTAGTAGTTGTGTAGTAGTAGTGTTGTAGTTGTTGTAGTAGTAGTTGTAGTAGTTGTTTAGTAGTTGTTGTAGTTGTTGTAGTAGTTGTTGTTGTTGTAGTAGTAGTTGTAGTTGTTGTAGTTGTAGTTTGTAGTAGTTGTAGTTGTTGTAGTAGTAGTAGTTGTAGTTGTTGTAGTAGTAGTAGTTGTTGTTGTTGTTGTAGTAGTAGTTGTTGTTGTAGTAGTTGTTGTTGTTGTAGTAGTAGTTTGTTGTTGTAGTAGTAGTTGTTGTTGTTGTAGTTGTAGTAGTAGTTGTTGTTGTTGATCATAATATATAATAATAATAAAAATACTGTATATAAATCAAATCATGTTTAAATTTATTTGAGAAAAACAGATTTTTCTGCCAGAGCCTTTTGGACACTGTTAGGATGGAACTTAAGAGTCTTGGTGGACTCAGTAGATTTTATTCAAGTGAGCTAATATTCCACAGATTTTCTTTTATTTGGTATTGTCACATTTTAAAATTGGGTACAAGTTGAATTTCTGATATTAAGGCAATGATGCACCCTATTATACAGTCTACGGTCCTACTCAAGACACTCCTAATTAATTCGCTCTCTCTTCTCTTTCACACCGCAGTTTTAACTCAAAATAACACAGGAGCTGTAAAAAACCTTGATGAGAACATTTTGGCCAAACACATCTAATATATATCGCAGCGCCGAGCGAAGTTCCATTATTTATCTTCTTTAAAGGACACGTCTTCACCTCGTACAGTCGCTGCCTTATTCAAACGTTATAGTCAGGGAAACTTTTTATGCAGAGTCTGTCCTTGGACGATACAAGGAGCAAAAACATGTCAGAGCAGATGTGATGGGAGGGACATTTTCTGTTATTTTCCACTAAGGAAACTCAGCCTCAAGGCCACAGAGATACTCGACTTATTCTGTTCAGTTACTCACACAAATAAATGTAATAATCAGGTTTTAAATTATGTATCATGCGTGAGAAACATGGACCTGCACAGGCTTTCAATGACATTTTATGGTTTATGTGCACACTGTTTTGGTTTAGACCTGGTTTAGTTCTGGTTTAGACTTGGTTTAGACTTGGTTTAGACTTGGTTTAGACTTGGTTTAGCCCTGGTCCAGTCCTGGTGGAGTTCTGGTCCTGTTCTGGTTTAGTCCTGGGTTAGCCCTGGTTTAGTCCAGGTCCAGTCCTGGTGTAGTCCTGGTTCAGTCCTTGTGTAGTCCTGGTTTAGTCCTGGTTCAGCCCTGGTCCAGTCCTGGTCCAATCCTGGTTTAGTCCTCGTGTAGTCCTGGGTTAGTCCTGATCCATTTCTGGTTCAGTCCTGGTCCAGTCCTTGTCCAGGTTTAGTCCTGGTTCAGTCCTGGTTTAGTCCTGGTCTAGTCCTGGTCTAGTCCGGGTTTAGTCTCGGTTTAGCCCTGTTTCAGTCTTGGTTTAGTCCTAGTTCAGTCCTGGTGTAGTCCTGGGTTCAGTCCTGGTTCAGCTCTGGTTCAGCTCTGGTTCAGTCCCTGGTTCAGTCCTGGTCCAGTCCTGGTTTAGTCCTTGGTTCAGTCCTGGCCCAGTCCTGGTTTAGTCCTGGTCCAGTCCTGTTTTAGTCCTGTTTTAGTCCTGGTTCAGTCCTGGTCCAGTCCTGTTTTAGTTCTGGTTCAGTCCTGGTTCAGTCCTGGTCCAGTCCTGTTTTAGTTCTGGTTCAGTCCTGGTTCAGTCCTGGTCCAGTCCTGTTTTAGTTCTGGTTCAGTCCTGGTTCAGTCCTGGTCCAGTCCTGTTTTAGTTCTGGTTCAGTCCTGGTTCAGTCCTGGTTCAGTCCTTGGTTTTGTCAGCGTATTTATATTTATTCTCCGTTAGTCACACACGGGGAATCGTCGGATTGTGTGAAATGTTTGTTTTTGTCGTTTCCATGGAGACTGCGCGAGAGGCCGCCTCAGGAGCTCTGCACACTTGAGACCCTGCAGACTTTTTACACAGTGGAGCACTTCCTGTCCACTCCGCGAGAAAAGTTACACAGTGCCCCTTTAAATAAAACGGTCGTATTTGCGTCGAGTTGTACCTGAGATAGTCGTAGAGTCCGTACATGGGCAGGAAGTCGACGTCCGTGAGGAACACGTAGGGGGTGGGGGCGTTGCGGAGGGCCACGTTGCGCAGGAGGTTGACGGGGTAGAACTGGCCCTCGCGGTACACGATGTGGTAGCCCACGTTCTTCCGGTTCTTCAGGACCTCGGAGGCCTGGGCGTACCTCAGGAACTGCTGGGCCTCGGCGTCCGACATGTACAACGCCAGACTGATCGGACCCTCCCAGTGTTTACAGATGGCCTCCAGCATCTGCAGCCTGAGACAGAGACGAGACGGATACAACGTGAGAGAGAAAAACAAGAACATACTCAAATAAACTAATGAGAAAAAGAAGAAAATACAACATCTGCAGCCTGGAACAGAGACGAGACGGATACACGTGAGAGAGAAAAACAAGAACATACTCAAATATACGAACGAGAAGAAGAAGAAAAAAATAACATCTGCAGCCTGGAACAGAGACGAGACGGATACACGTGAGAGAGAAACACAAGAACATACTCAAATGCCCCTCCATCCCCAAAGATCTTGAACTCTTCATTCAGACTCTAATTATGCTGGCAAAATATCACATACACAAAACCAAATGGTCTCAAAATAAACCAAATATTCATCAATATAATAACGAAATCCAACAATACGTTCAGACAATAAAACAGGTCCAAAACAAAAAAGCAATTAAAACTTACAATATCTATTAAAAATATAGTATAGCTTTATTTAATTTATGACATTCTGTTTTGTTTTGTTATTCTCTTGTTTAGTTTTGGATTCATTCCTTCTGCTCCCCTGTATGTTAATTTGCAAACCACCCCCATGTCTCAGTATGTTTATGTGTGTTTATGTGTATGAATGTATATGTATATTTTTCATACCTCAGCCCTGCCATAACTGTGAACTGGACTTTGCATTGATGCAGCAACAATCCAATCTGCACCTTATACTGTAAATACATTGGTTGTTTTGGTCTTGTTGTTATATGTCTGCAATTAAAAAAAAAATTAAAAAAAAGAACATACTCAAATAAACTAATGAGAAGAAGAAAATACAACATCTGCAGCCTGGAACAGAGACGAGACGGATACAAGATTTGCAAGTCTCAAGTAAGTCTCAAGTCTTTGACCTCAAGTCTGACTCAAGTCCCAAGTCTAGTCCTGAGTCACTGGCCCATAAGTCCAAGTCAAGTCCAAGTCGAAGTCTCGAGTCAAGTCCAAGTCAAGTCGGTCCCATAAGTCCAAGTCAAGTCCAAGTCGAGTCTCTGGCCCATAAGTCCAAGTCAAGTCCAAGTCCAAGTCAAGTCTCGAGTCACTGGCCCATAAGTCCAAGTCAAGTCCAAGTCCCAAGTCCAAGTCAGTCCTGAGTCACTGGCCCGTAAGTCCAAGTCAAGTCCAAGTCGTCCGCTTCGAGCTTCAAGTCATTTCAAGTCTTTAAACCAAAAAAAGCACCAAATATAGTTTAGATTTTTGCAATGTATATGAATTTTAAGATACATTGAACTTAAAAAGTCAAAGTATATTTATATATGAATATTTATATAACAGTTGTAGAAATGCAAATTTTTCATTCTTAAATGTCTCGTCAAGATCTAAGTGTGAATCATTACGGTCAGAATAGAAAGAATTCAGATTTAAAAGTGATAAATAACAGCTTTTTGTCGTGTGTTTGCACTGAAATGGAAGAATCATGTTCTTTGTAATTCCCTTTGTTTTACCGTATTGTACTGCATTGTACTGTATATTACTGTACTGTACTGTATATTACTGTACTGTACTGTATATTACTGTAGTACATTTGAGTATCACAGTACTTCAGTTACATCCAAAGTACCAAACAGAAGTGGGACATGTTCCAGTTTGTTCCTGTAAAATTCAGCGTCGCATTTATCAACTGTAAAGAGAAAAGTATTTTCTAAAACACATATATTTTTAAGAGAAGCGTCAGGTCCTCTCAAGTCACAGGCCTCAAGTCCGAGTCGAGTCCCAAGTCTAAGTCCAATTTTATCAAGTCAAGTCTCAAGTCCTAAAAATAGTCCAAGTCACTTTATACAGGCTTTATAAACTGTCCATCACCTGGTTGTTTCCATGGATACGTCATCGTTGTGCCTGTAATATTCCACAGTGTGACTTTAAACAACTCTACTTTACTTTTATTCAGTTACAGGTGGTTTTAAAGCTCAAAAACACCTAGAAAAACAGACATTCTGACTGTGAACGGGGTCGCCTCTCCACAGATCTGACCTGTAACTTGGTCTGGTTTGGTCTCCATGAAGATAGAAAGATTTAATGCCACACTGTGAAACATTCGAGACAAAGCGATAACACCTCCATGAAGAAAAACATTTGAAAAGTTACTCAATGCACCTTTAAATTATTACTATTTTGTTTTAGTAATTGTCTGAATGGAGTAAAACTTGATTCTTGAGTTTGGTTTGTTCTTCTTAAATCGACCACGTTCATGAGAAAACCAAACGAACGCGTGTTTATTCTTTCTACAAAACCCACGCAAAAACATGTTATGTCCAAACAGCGGCTCAGTCCTTCAGTATTTTCACCAAACACACTGGAGGATCTCAGGTCTGTGCAGCTGCTCGGACTCTGAGTCTGGGACAAACTGATTTTAGGGTTAGACGGAGAGAAAAGAAAGAGAGTAGAAATAGAGAGATGGAGGAGGGTGGGGGCAGAGAGGAAGAAAAGACAGAGACAAGAAAGATTTGTTCTGTTTGTTGGTGTCGAGCGAATGATTCTTTCCAGATTTTAAGGATTTTGTTTCCCTGTTCAAAAGATAAAATAATGTGGATTTAAATGACTTAATTGCTATGGTAACGCTTGAAACCCAAGTATTGCTGTTACAGAGAATAATCCCTGGTTTAGTCCTGGTTTAGTCCTGGTTTAGTCCTGGTTTAGTCCTGGTTCAGAGTCCTGGTTCAGTACTTGTTAAGTTCTGGTTCAATAATGGTCTAGTTCTGATTCAGTCCCGGTTTAGTCCTGGTTCAGTCCTGGTTGAATCCCAGTTGAGTCCTGCTTGAGTCCCGGCTCAGTCCTGTTTCAATATTTGTTTAGTCCTGGTTCAGAGTCCTGGTTCAGTACTTGATAAGTCTTGGTTCAATCCTGGTCTAGTTCTGGTCTAGTTCTGATTCAGTCCTGGTTTAGTCCTGGTTTAGTCCTGGTTTAGTCCTGGTTTAGTCCTGGTTTAGTCCTGGTTTAGTCCTGGTTCAGTCCTGGTTTAGTCCTGGTTCAGTCCTGGTTCAGTCCTGGTTTAGCCCTGGTTCAGTCCTGGTTTAGTCCTGGTTTAGTCCTGGTTTAGTCCTGGTTCAGTCCTGGTTTAGTCCTGGTTTAGTCCTGGTTCAGTCCTGGTTTAGTCCTGGTTTAGTCCTGGTTTAGTCCTGGTTCAGTCCTGGTTCAGTCTGGTTTAGTCCTGGTTTAGTCCTGGTTCAGTCCTGGTTTAGTCCTGGTTTAGTCCTGGTTTAGTCCTGGTTCAGTCCTGGTTTAGTCCTGGTTTAGTCCTGGTTTAGTCCTGGTTTAGTCCTGGTTCAGAGTCCTGGTTCAGTACTTGTTAAGATCTGGTTCAATCCTGGTCTAGTTCTGATTCAGTCCCGGTTTAGTCCTGGTTCAGTCCTGGTTGAATCCCAGTTGAGTCCTGCTTGAGTCCCGGCTCAGTCCTGTTTCAGTATTTGTTTAGTCCTGGTTCAGAGTCCTGGTTCAGTACTTGCTAAGTCTTGGTTCAATCCTGGTCTAGTTCTGGTCTAGTTCTGATTCAGTCCTGGTTTAGTCCTGGTTTAGTCTCTGTCTAGTCCTGGTACAATCCTGGTTCAGTCCTGGTTAAGTCCCGGTTGAATCACGGTTGAGTCCTGGTTCAGTTCCGCTTCAATATTTGTTTAGTCCTGGTTCAGTACTTGTTAAGTCCTGGTTCAGTCCTGGTTCAGTCTTACTTCAATTCTGCTTCAGTCCCAGTTCTGTTCTGGTTCAGTCTTCCGTTAGTCCTGGTCCAGTCCTGGTTCAGTTTTGATTCAGTACTTGCTTAGTCCTGGTTCAGAGTCTTGCTTCAGTCTCAGTTCAGTCTCGGTCTCGTCCAGGTTTAGTCTTGGTTCAGTCACGGTCTAGTCCTGTTTCAGTCCCAGTTCAGTTCTAGTTCAGTTCTGGCTCTGTCCTGCTTCAGTATTTGTTTAGTCCTGGTTCAGAGTCCTGGTCTAGTCCTGGTCTAGTTCTGAATCAGTCCCGGTTCAGTCCTGGTTCAGTCTTTCTTAAGTCCTGGTCCTGACAGTCCTAGTTCAGTCCCGGTTGAATCCCGGTTGAGTCCTGGTTCAGTTCCAGCTCAGTCCTGCTTTAGTATTTGTTTAGTCCTGGTTCAGAGACCTGCTTCAGTCCTGGTTCAGTCCTGGTTCAGTCCTGGTTCAGTCCTGGTTCAGTCCTGGTTCAGTCCTGGTTCAGTCCTGGTCCAGTCCCGGTCCAGTCCCGGTCCAGTCTTTCTTCAGTCCTGGTTCAGTACTTGTTAAGTCCTGGTTCAGTCCTGGTCTAATCCTGGTCTAGCCCTGGTTCAGTCCCAGTTTAAGCCTAGTTCAGTCCTGCTTCATTACTTGTTTCAGTCCTGGTTCAGTCCTGGTCCAGTCCCTCTTCAGTCCTGTTTTCAGTCTTGTTTCAGTCTTGTTTCAGTCCTGGTTCAGTCCTGGTTCAGTCCTGGTTCAGTCCTGGTCCAGTCCCTCTTCAGTCCCGGTTCAGTCCCGTTCCAGTCCCGTTTCAGTCCCGTTTCAGTCCCGTTTCAGTCAGTCCTTCAGTCCCGTTCAGTCCCGTTTCAGTCCCGGTTCAGTCCCGGTTCAGTCCCGGTTCAGTCCTGTTTCAGTCCTGTTTCAGTCCTGGTTCAGTCCTGTTTCAGTCCTGTTTCAGTCCTGGTCAGTCCCGTTCAGTCCTGTTTCAGTCCCGGTTCAGTCCTGTTCAGTTCCAGTCCGTTTCAGTCCCGTTCAGTCTTTTCAGTCCCGGTTCAGTCCTGTTTCAGTCCCGTTCAGTCCCGTTTCAGTCCTTTCAGTCCCGGTTCAGTCCCGTTTCAGTCCTGGTTCAGTCCCGGTTTCAGTCCTGGTTCAGTCCCGGTTCAGTCCCGGTTCAGTCCCGGTTCAGTCCCGTTTCAGTCCCGGTTCAGTCCTGTTTCAGTCCCGGTTCAGTCATGGTTCAGTCCTGGTTCAGTCCCTCTTCAGTCCTGTTTCAGTCCTGTTTCAGTCCTGTTTCAGTCCTGGTTCAGTCCTGTTTCAGTCCTGTTTCAGTCCTGGTTCAGTCCTGGTTCAGTCCTGTTTCAGTCCTGTTTCAGTCCTGGTTCAGTCTTGTTTCAGTCCTGGTTCAGTCTTGTTTCAGTCTTGTTTCAGTCCCGTTTCAGTCCCGTTTCAGTCCCGGTTCAGTCCCGGTTCAGTCCCGGTTCAGTCCCGTTTCAGTCCCGTTTCAGTCCCGGTTCAGTCCCGTTTCAGTCTTGGTTCAGTCCTGGTTCAGTCCTGTTTCAGTCCTGTTCAGTCCTGTTTCAGTCCTGTTTCAGTCCTGTTTCAGTCTTGTTTCAGTCCTGTTTCAGTCCTGGTTCAGTCCTGTTTCAGTCCTGTTTCAGTCCTGTTTCAGTCCTGGTTCAGTCCTGTTTCAGTCCTGGTTCAGTCCTGTTTCAGTCCTGTTCAGTCCTTTCAGTCCTGTTTCAGTCCTGTTTCAGTCCTGTTTCAGTCCTGTTTCAGTCCTGGTTCAGTCCTGTTTCAGTCCTGTTTCAGTCCTGTTTCAGTCCTGTTTCAGTCCTGGTTCAGTCTTGTTTCAGTCCTGGTTCAGTCCTGGTCCAGTCCCTCTTCAGTCATGGTTCAGTCCCTCTTCAGTCCTGTTTCAGTCCTGGTTCAGTCCTGTTTCAGTCCTGTTTCAGTCCTGTTTCAGTCCTGGTTCAGTCTTGTTTCAGTCCTGGTTCAGTCCTGGTCCAGTCCCTCTTCAGTCATGGTTCAGTCCCTCTTCAGTCCTGTTTCAGTCCTGGTTCAGTCCTGTTTCAGTCCTGTTTCAGTCCTGTTTCAGTCCTGTTTCAGTCCTGTTTCAGTCCTGGTTCAGTCCTGGTTCAGTCCTGTTTCAGTCCTGTTTCAGTCTTGTTTCAGTCCTGGTTCAGTCCTGTTCAGTCCTGTTTCAGTCCTGTTTCAGTCCTGTTCAGTCCTGTCAGTCCTGGTTCAGTCCTGTTTCAGTCCTGTTTCAGTCTTGTTTCAGTCCTGGTTCAGTCTGTTTCAGTGTCAGTTCAGTCCTGTTTCAGTCCTGGTTCAGTCCTGTTTCAGTCCTGGTTCAGTCCTGTTTCAGTCCTGGTTCAGTCCTGTTTCAGTCCTGTTTCAGTCCTGTTTCAGTCCTGTTCAGTCCTGTTTCAGTCCTGGTTCAGTCCTGTTTCAGTCCTGTTTAGTCCTGTTTCAGTCAGTCCTGTTTCAGTCCTGTTCAGTCCTTGTTTCAGTCCTGGTTCAGTCCTGGTCAGTCAGTCCCTCTTCAGTCATGGTTCAGTCCCTCTTCAGTCTGTTTCAGTCCTGGTTCAGTCCTGTTTCAGTCCTGTTTCAGTCCTGTTTCAGTCTTGTTTCAGTCCTGGTTCAGTCCTGGTCCAGTCCCTCTTCAGTCATGGTTCAGTCCCTCTTCAGTCATGGTTCAGTCCTGGTTCAGTCCTGTTCAGTCCTGTTTCAGTCCTGTTTCAGTCCTGTTTCAGTCCTGTTTCAGTCCTGGTTCAGTCCTGGTTCAGTCCTGTTTCAGTCCTGTTTCAGTCTTGTTTCAGTCCTGGTTCAGTCCTGGTTCAGTCCTGTTTCAGTCCTGTTTCAGTCCTGTTCAGTCCTGTTCAGTCCTGTTTCAGTCCTGGTTCAGTCCTGTTCAGTCCTGTTTCAGTCCTGTTTCAGTCTTGTTTCAGTCCTGGTTCAGTCCTGGTTCAGTCCTGTTTCAGTCCTGTTTCAGTCTTGTTTCAGTCCTGGTTCAGTCCTGTTCAGTCCTGTTTCAGTCCTGTTTCAGTCTTGTTCAGTCCTGGTTCAGTCCTGTTTCAGTCCTGGTCCAGTCCCTCTTCAGTCCTGTTTCAGTCTTGTGTCAGTACCTGTCCATCGAGAGCTGTGCGACCAGCGTGACGTCGCTCCCGTTGTCGGTCGTGGGGTACTCGTAGTGCAGGAAGTACAGATGGACTCTGTGGACCGTGAGCCGCTCTCGTCTGAAATCATAACACTGATCGTCCTCGTCCAGCTGCTCCAGAGCCGACTGCAACTGAACACAAACAACAACACAAACGTCATTTCGTCATTTCACCGACGCCGCGATAAAGTGCCACGTCCCCAGTGATGGCGTCTGATACGTGGAGCTGATGTACTTGACAAAACAAGGCCAGAAAACATTAACGACAGCTGTGTTCTGTTAATCGACGTACGGCTCATGGCCAAGGACAAAATGAACATTCTGTGGAACATTATGCGCAAAACAATGACATCTTAACAGGGACAATATGATAGTTTAGGGATCTCATAATAGATATTTAACTAAAATCCACAGCAAGGCTCACACATTTATTCTAAGTTGAAGTAAAAATCAGAAATGAGCTTTTCACTTTTGCTAAAATAATAATAACACGTGTGTATCTGGAATGTGTGTAGAATCCTTCTATACTGTGGCAAAGGAGAAATTTAATTTGTCAACTGCACAAACGTTTATTTAGGTTGAAAAGGTTTCGCAGTTCGTCCAAGCTGCTTCTTCGGTTCTTGTCAGACGCTGGACACTTCCTCATATCCGACTGAAGGAGGAGCAAACTACACTGAGGCCCCGTTTACTCGTACACAGGAATTTTTAAAAACGGAGACATTTCTCTTTGTTTTATCTTTTTTTTTTTTGCAATATTTTATTTTTGCTTTTTGTTTGTGTTATACAATACACAAAAAAAGAAAACAGTTGAACAACAAAAAGCCCATGCCCTCCCCGCTCACCCACAACAGCAGAAAGGGAGGGAGGAAGCTTCTCACAACGACACATTTCAATATTTCACATAGACACACAGGTCAGTTGAGGCGACATTCACATAATCCAAGTAAAGCTGCCATATTCTAACAAAGGTGTTGTCAGTCTCTCTGAGGTTACAAGTGATCTGTTCCAAAGGCACACAGGTGTTTGTTTCTGAGTACCGTCTTGTAATGGGAGGGGGGATCAGACTTCCAGGTGACTGTAATGCATTTTCTTGCCACTGCCAATGAAAATTAAAAAAAAATATATTTTGTATTTATTTAATGGTGAAATTTTCTCAAAATCCCCAAGTCAGCACATTTGTTTCATCTTTTTCAGAGGTGAATTCACCTCTGAAAACAAATCTTTCTAAAAACAGATTTTGTGTGTGCAGATTTTGAAAAACTCCGGTTTGGTGTTTGCGTGTAAAGTGAGATAAACAGTTTTAGGAGCTGATGTGCCAAAAGTGCCACCAGTGTTTTTCTTTTGCTCTGATGATGATGAAGCGTCAGAGCAGCAGTTGCATTTCTTCTCGTGAAACACTTTTCATGTGTTTACATTTGCACAAACAGCTGATGTTTCATATCCATGACCCGAGACCAATGAGGCTTTAACAGATCTGTGGAGAGGCGAGCTGCTCACTAATGCATGATTTTCAAGTTGTTTTTTTTTTTTTTTTGGAGTAAAACTTACAACTGTAATGAAATAAATGCTACAGGTTTGAATCTAATCTACTCGCAGCCCAGAGGTTTGGTGTAGTTATGATGACGCTCGATGGCGGATTTATGTTGATCGATGTAAACAAAAACCTTTTTGAAAACAATGCTTTGTGCACGATGTTATTTTGGAAAACAGAGGGAGGAAAATATTTGTTTCTTAACAAACCCATCTCTGTGTCAATGTGGCCTGAAACTATTCTGAAACTGACACCCTACTTGTTTACAGTTTGTGTTTGTTCGCTCGGAGAAACTGTAAACAAGTAGGTGTTAGTTTCAGAGGAGTTTCAGTGTCTTTAGTGTATAAGTGTATAAAGACGTGTCCAAAAGCATCTGACCAAAACTGAAGAAGCAGCTTGGATGAACTACAAAATGTTTACAACAGAAATAAACGTTTGTCCATTTGATAAATTGAATTTCTCCTTTATCTGGAATATAAAATAATTACTGACAAACTGACACAGAAGAGAACACAGAGAATGAGGTCAAAGTCTGTGCAGGACAGAATTTTGATGCGGACGTTCGCTTTCTTAAACTATCGACCCACGGAGAAGCGGAAAGGAATTGTCTAAAATGTGCACGAGATTAGACCACATCCGCAAGTTTAGGTATGTTGGTATCAAATGTCAGTACCAAATATGTTGTCGATGAATAGACGCATCAAGAATCTCGGACTTTTGATCATTGCACAATTCATACTGGGAAGGATTTTCCAAACCACCATGTTTGTTTTCCCAGTGGGATGTGTCTATTGTCAAAGTCGATCTTTTCAAGTTTTTTGAACCATATCACTTTTGTTTCTGGTTCTGATATTGTCATTTTTTAGTTTTGGGATTCGAACATCGTAATTGTGTGGTTGTTGGATTCTAACAGCGGAAAACGACTCGAGAAATGTGTTTGTGAACTTCATAGATGCAAAAGTGAATCAGATGTGTGTGACTCAAACCTCTGTTCAAACTGTTTCTCTTCCCGAACGGAATTGAAAAATAGTGAAAGGTGAAGGTGATGGGCAGGATTGATCAGAACCAGAAACAAAAGTGATATGGTTCAAAAGACTTGAAAAGATGGACTTTGTTAATAGACACATCCCACTGGGAAAACAAACATGGAGGTTAGATGCTCACTTTTTCGGAAAATCCTTCCCAGTATGAATTGCTACGTGTATTGTATTTTTATGAACCGATACCGATACTGAAACCATTACAAAAGTGCACGTCTGAAATTAAACTAAATACTGAGGCGTGTGTAAAATCCCTCAGTCGTTCAAGTAGAATTTGTCAACTGGACAAAAGTTTACTTGGTCAAATTATTTTCTCAGCTCATCCAAGCTGCTTCTTCAGTTCTGCTCAGGACGGATGATGGATGTTGTGGTGTTGGTTTATTTTTTATTTATTGACTTTTATTGAACCAGGACAGTCCCGCTGAGATTAAGACTCTCTGTTTCAGCGGAGTCCTGGTCCCACGGGGGGTCCTATTGTTCATGTTTAGTGGGAGGAGAAACTAGAGCAACCGGAGCACCTACACAAGCACAGGGAGAACATGCAAACTCCACACGGAAAGGCCCCAGAATCCAACCCAGGACCTTCTTGCTGTGAGACAAGAGAACGAACTGCTCCATCATCGCACCATGTAGTCAGACATAAAATAAATAAAATAGATATTCTACAATAGGGCGAACAAACGTACTTTTTCCTTGGACATGTCTGTATTTCGCCTCCTGTCCGGGTTTTTATTTTTATTTTAAAGTGACGCAAAAGTCCAGGTTTTCAGTACCGTTCATTGGGGGAATTAAACTGAGCGTCTCTCGTAGCGTCTGTGACTCAGAAGGAGCGAGACACAAACAGCAACAGGTCGAAGCACAAATGCACATTTAACAAAGACTTGTACAAGAAATTCTCTGTTTTCCGTCCCGGTCGGGACAAGTGTGAGTCCATGTGCACAGGTTGAGGTGAGAGGACAGTGTCCCTCGTTTATCGCGGGAGTTACGTTCTAATAGTTGAAATCCTTGAAGTATCAACTTTATATTTTACAATTATTAAATCTGTTTTAAGTCTGTAAAACTCCTCAGCACAAACTTTATACACTTTTCTCAGACAGGATCGACAGGTGCAACCCTTTTTACTTCCTTCTTAAAACTTGTTGCTGCTGTCGTCCTTTTGTTATTTTCCTCCTTCTTTATGTAACAAACTGAAGATTCATTTATTCCGTAATGGAGCCAACAGCGCAGAGTCCTGCACGGGTCCATTTTTGGAGACCCCCAGTACAACACCGCACCTGCGCAGTACAGGACCGCACCTGCCCGTTAACCCGAGATTATATCAAACTTTTGCGCTGCCTACGCCACGGACTGAACCAAGACTAAACCAGGACTAAACCAGGACTAAACCAGGACTGAAGAGAAGGACTAAACCAGGACTAAACCAGGACTAAACCAAGACTAAACCAAGACTAAACCAAGACTAAACCAGGACTAAACCAAGACTAAACCAGGACTAAACCAGGATTAACCCAGGACTAACCCAGGACTGATTCCAGGACTGAAGAGAAGGACTAAACCAGGACTAAACCAGGACTAAAACAAGACTAAAACAAGACTAAACCAGGACTAAACCAGGACTAAACCAGAATTAACCCAGGACTAACCCAGGACTGATTCCAGGACTGAAGAGAAGGACTAAAACAGGACTTAACCAGGACTAAACCAAGACTAAACCAGGATTAAACCAGGACTAACCTTGGACTGATTCCAGGACTGAAGAGGAAGACTAAACCAGAACTAAACCAGAACTGAAACAGGACTCACTGTCGGGACGGGCTCGGAGGCGACCGCAGGAGAAAGGACCGGTGAAGAGCTCCGCACCTCACGGAGGTAAACCCGGCAATCGCCCGATCGCGCTTTGCGGACAAACTGCTCGGGGTTCTCTCTCTTAAGTCCAAGATTAGTCCTGGTTTAGACCTGTTTAGTCCTGACCCACCCATGTGTAAAAAAAAACCCCAAAAAACATGCAAAATTGACAGAAAAAAATCTGCGAAAAGGCGAGACTTAGAAAGGTGAAGTGCGATATAGCGAGGGACGACTGTAGCTCAATGTCCGGGTTTTCACAAATGGAAATCTGGTCGCCCTTTTCTACGACATAAATATTTTTGTTGTGATTAAACAAAAAAAAAACTCTTAGATAAACAATTTATTTAAAAAGTAAATGAAACAGAGGAGCTCATTAGCCCCCTTCTGCTCTCAGACAGTCAGTAGCGCCATTAGCACCATTAGCATCATTAGCATTAGCGCTAAGTTTGTAAAGAGGCTGTAATTGGTCCTCATCAGGAGCCATCAGACACCTGCCGGGCCCCGCGCCAGCTTTGTTTCGCAAGTTTGAGCTACGGGGGTGGAACAATTGGGGGAAAATATCTGTAATTGTGATTTTTCTGAAGAGCCCGACGATTAGATCAGTGATTTACGGAGCAATAATAATCTGATTCTGTTCATATTTTAAACACGTCCAGAAGAAATGACAAATACGATGAAAAACGGACACAAGAGTCACTTTTCAGGACGCGTTTGTGCAGATTTAAACTACAGGGAGAGCAGTTTTTATGCAGAATAAGACGGAGATTTTGTCGCTCGTAAAGTCACAGTACGCAGGGCAGTAGATGGAGGGGACAAATAAGGCTTTTGTTCTTGGCCCAAGGATTTTAGGGGCCCAGAATTAGACCGTTCTATTAACTTTTGGACGCCGACTAGGAACAACCCACACATATATGACTAGAGCTAAACATAGAGCATAACTGAATAAAAGAAAACAGACTTCCACGAGTGATTATAAATGATTTTCACACTCATGAACTTAATTGAAACAGACATATTTAGTATCATTGGAAACTTTAGACTCTGAACTCTTCATTTCTGGATGTTTAAATGTGATTCAACTCATTTACAGGTTTATAACAGCTCACTGAAAATGAGAGTTTACCTGGTCAGGTGCAAAATCGAGAAAAAAAAAAAAAAAAACTACATTCAGCATCTGATACACATGTTCTGAGCACTATATTCATAAAAAAAAAAAAAGTAAAAATATATTTGGCAAAGTATTTCAACAGATTTCATATCACCAGATACAATATAGCCAAGTGTTCACCTGTTTTTACCTGTTGTTCACCTGTGTGGACCTAATTCATTTTTTTTCCATTTAACTTATTCAACTCATTTAGCTTATTATAATGTAATAATATAATAATATATAAATAATAAAACTCTTCCCCGTCAGTGTTTGTTCAGTATTTGTCATCTTGGTCACTTTCTCGTGTGCAGAGCTCTGCATAAGTGTTTGTTTCTGTAGTGATTCTGTCATAAATCGCATCTTGGAAAAAAAGACTGAAATATTTCAAAGGACTGGCCTGAGAAACATCCAGATTTCAGGGCAATTTTGGTTCATAATCGAGTATAAAGCCCGGATAGTTTGTTTGGATATCGCAGGACTCCACACAGACATTCTCACCTTCATAATTTTCACTCTCCGAAAGTCCGTCGCTGTCACTGTTTTCCACTTTATAATCAACTTCATCATCACTTTGAAATCTATAAAAGTCACTTTATCTAAACTTATCCATAAAACACGCTCTCTCCTCATTATTTTTAAAACTGTGCGTCGTAATCTTTTAACCACTCGTGTTTCGTGTTGTGTTTTTTCCGGAAGCTACAATCGTCACTACTTCAATTAACTTCGAAAAAAAATCTGCAAAAACATATCCTTGAATCCTATTGGTCAGTCTAGTGTGGGTTGTAGTGGCCCTGACCTGTCGCAGTCTCTGTTTAAATGTGAAAAACCGAGTCGTTTCTAATGGTCGTCAAATCACGTCTTTAGTGACACAGCGGAGGCGTCGAAACACGTCATTAAGGAAACAAGGGGGTCGTCAAATGTCGTCTTCATGGGGGAAAGAGTTCATTTATATTACGGGGGCCCATGTGAGGCTTCTTGCACTGAGCCCCCAAATTTCTCTTGACGGCCCTAAGAGTTTGCAACTTTTTGAAATCAAATCAAATCTGAAAATTAACATAAATACATATTTCTGTGATTATTTGTCTTGTCTTTGCTGCATGAACAAAAGGAACAAGAAGAAGATAAATCTTTTAAACCCTTCTCCTGTCACAGATCAAAAATTTTTACATTTATTTAGTAATTGTTCTCCACCCCAAAAACCAAACCAAGTCACCAGACAATAAGCCAAATGAATCTGTGTGTCATTCGTTCATTCGTTTTTCAATATAAAACCAAAAATAAGAAAATGAAAAAATAAAAATTTTCTTCATTATTTGTCTCCAAAACCAAAATGAAAAAATGGGTAACGGTTTGTTTTTTCAGTTTTCGATTTTGTGTATAAATGAAAAATGGAAAAAACGGATAACGACTGTTTACGTGACTTCTGTGACTGCAATGCCCGACTGAACCAGGACGGATCCAGGTCTGGGACGAGACTGGGACCAGACCGGGACTAGAGCGGACTCTCCGGCCTGGTCTCGGTCTGGTCCCGGCCTGGTCTCGGTCTGGTCCCGCTTTGGGAATCAGTCCTGGTTCAGTCCGGCATCGCAGTCACTGAAGTCACGTAAACGGGAAACTGAACGACCAAGATTATTTTTAAGAAGAATAAATGTTTACATGACAGGAATAAATTAATTCGGCTTTAAAATCAGAATAAACCACCCACTTACTTCAGAATTAAGTTTAATTCCAAATAATGATTTTCATTAGGAATTAAGTTTACATCAGGGGTGTCAAACATACGGCCTGGGGGCCAGATCAGGCCCTCGAAGACCTTTAATCTGGCCCTCGGCTGATTTTCTACTAAATATTTTCATTATATTTTCTATTAAAATCTTGTTAATTTTCTGTGGTGTTTATCACAGCAGCGTCTCCAGCGTCTCTGTACGTGGCCCCTCCCACCAGAGCAGCACAAATGAAGACTTGTCTCTTTCCAAACGCTCTTAAAGGACGATCGTTTTGACTGTTGACCGTGACACCCTCATCAGAAAAATGTCCAACATGAGAAAAGTGGAGCCGAGTGCAGGATTTTACAAGAAAAATGGACTTATTCCTATTTACAAACCAAGTTCATGTTAAAACATTGTGTTGAAATTGTATTTTTCTCAAAGTTTCAGGTTGTTCATAATATTATAATATTTTGTAAAAGAAAGAGTTCATCAATTAAAAAAGATTTCTGTAATAGATTTGTGTTTCTCTGCACAAATATTTGAACTTATTGTTATTTTTGGGGTTTATATGACATGAGTTTTCTGATCCGGCCCCTTTGGGATCAAATCGGTTGGATACGACACCCCTGGTCTACATGCTCTTTTTAAAGCGGAATATTTAAAATTATTTTTTATTAGGAATTAAAGTTCTCATGTAAATATGGCAAAATGTGGCTTTGACGGGGCCACTCCGTCACATGCAGCTTTGCGATTTGCGTCCAAACAAATTGCATTTTTGATTCAACTGTCGGGCTGAGTATCATTAAGAAGTTGCCGATACAATACACACCTCGATACATAGGCCACGATACGATATATGTTTCGATACAGTGCACTTTCGATTCGATACGATACATTTCAAATCATTATGATATGGTTAAAAAAACAAAACAAAGGCTAAATCATGTCTGTGATACTAAAAGTCTTTGTTAAATCACTTCCAACACAAACATTTTAATCAACAAAACAGCAAAATGTGTCACATAAATGAGTTTCCTTCCACTAAACAAACAACAAAACTGTATCTGTAACAAAACCATTTAGTAAAATTTACCAAAATATATCAATACAGCAGCCCACAATATTGATACTGATACGATATTTTGATACTTTTTGACCATCCTTATTCCATTGTATTATGTGAAACGTTGCAGCTGTGGTCTGAGCTGGAAATGCATCACATAAAATAAACAAACTCGAAAATAAACTCAGAGATCTGGAGCGGGGCCCAAACCAACAGGTCCAGGTCCCCGGGGACGGCGGGGTCAGCGTGGGTCGGGCGGGGCTGGCTCAGAAGCGGCGCATTAATGGCAGAAAGCGAAGAGGAGCCAAGAACCGAGGACTTAAGAGGAGCGCAAATGAACAAGGACTTTATCAAACCTGAAGTCTTAAAAGCAAATGCACTCGTTTGGCTCGGAGTCGTGCGCGAGTGCCTCTCCGCAGTGGTGTTTTGAAAGCCGCCGTCAAAGAGGAGCAAACTTCCCTCTCCCCAGACGCTTCAAGGCTATCCTCGAGTGACTTTAAGGACAGTCATGAAATTTAAGCCTCAAATCTTGTCCAAGTTGCCCAGAAAATATTATAAGTCCAGGGCCATTTGTATTGATCATTCAGAAGGCACCAAACACCATTATCCTGTATGAGAGTGAATCATGGAGCTATAATAAGAAATGGAAAAGACCCTCCCCCCCTCTGTTCGACTAGTGGCCGCTACAGGTACTGCAGCTCCAGCCCAGACACAACTCAAATCAAACTGCTGTTCGGCTGACAGGGCATCTACACACCTTTCGATACCTGAAAAACTTCAGCGCTCACCTGTACGCTCTGGGGGCTGCTGGGGCTTGGACATCCAAACAGCTCCCTCCTCAGAAGATTCCCGTCGTACTCTAAGAAGGTCAGATACAGATTCCTGAAGAACTCCACGTGTTTGTTCTTCACTCGCAGCTTCTTTGGAGAGTTCCAGTGGATCACCTGAAACGAAACAACCAGAATAACTCAGTTTAACTTAACTTATGTTCTATGTTCTGCACTCAGACCTGGCCAACCTGAGCCACAACACGATGAACTTCTGTCACCGTCCACAGTTCAAAGTTGTCAAAATTGTTATTGAAGGTAAGCGCGGAGTGCTGGGCGTTGTGGAGTTGAGTTTTTTCACTGTTTTCCTCGTATGAGTAACAGAAGCACACACAGCTCCTTCAGCGGGTATCATGGTTCGATTGGGCTACTGTGAGCACATCCATAGTCCCCTGAACAAGTTCTCATAATAAGGTGAACTACATCTCCCAACAAATCATTACAAACAGTCAAAGTTTGTCTATTTCAATTCCAAAGAGACCTTCAGTCTTTGGTCTGTAGTATAGACTGTAGAAGTGAGTCTGGGTGCAAAGTGGTTCCGTCGAGGTCGGGTTCCAATTCACTTTTTATTTTAAAAACCTGCACCTCTCTCTGTAACTGCTGCTGTCAAGTTTCGCATTTTGGCCTTAAAATGTTTGCTTTAACCCACTTCACATGATCCTGTTTGTTTTTTTTGGGTGTAAATAATACATGAATATAAATACTGTATTTTTTTGGACTTGGCGCACTTAAAATCCTTTAATTTTCTCAAAAATCGACAGTGCATCTTATGTATTAATTCTGGTTGTGCTTACTGACATGTGGTACACGGTGCTCAAAAATCTGTCAAAATGTTTTAGTACGACTTTGGTAAACTACGAAGCCGCAACACTTGATGGATTGTTGGAGCGGCCATCACCTCATCGCAGAACACACATATTCCACTGAGTCGTATCGCATAGTCCGACAGAAGCAGAACCGCATCAGCGCACAGGGAGCGAGCCGTTTTTCTGCGCTTATAGTTTATGCAAATGAGACATGTGGTTTTAACTTTCATTTGTGTACAATGGTCCCTCGTTTATCACGGGGGTTACGTTCTAAAAATAACCGGAGATAGGTGAAGTCCAGCTTTTTGTGCGATGGTTACATCTTCCTCCTCTTTTTGGGTGCGACCGCAGCAGTCAATGTCGGTGCAGAACGTTTCGTCGATACTGTGGGTTTTGTCGGGGAGAAAACTTGCAAACATACAGCACTTCAGAATCACACTGATACAGATCCAACATTTATTTAAATTTGGCAGCTGAACGCATTCTGTACTGTACAGGTGAGAGGAGTCCCTCAGCCAATCAGGACGCAGCGGGAGGAACGCAATACGCATTCATACACTGTAAAAAAAAAATTTAAAAATCTGCAAAACAGCGAGCCGCGAAAGGTGAACCGCGATATTGATTGATTGGTTTTTATTTCGAGTTTGTGCCAAGAGAGAAACAATAATCATATATACTACATACACAATGTAAACAACATTAGCGACGGACGACTGTAAAATGTAAACAAATGAGTAATAATGCAGCTTTGCCACAATGTATATTTGAGTCGTCTTCAAAAAAACAAACAAAAAAAAAACTCTTAACTTTGAGGACGACTTAATTACAAAAAAAAACAAACACTTAAATTCTCCACCCACATTCATAATCCACATTCACCAAGACAGAGAGGCAACGCCGGGCGAATTACACCCACGATCTGCCGACGGATCGTGGACGCCTGGACTAAGGATCAGCCTCAAGTGTCGCTTGTTTTTTTCACTTAATGCTCCTTATAATCCTGTGTGCTTTATGTATGAAAACAGAAAAGATAATTCAACATTTTGGTAACACTTTATAATAACTACACCTTATTTAGCCTTAATAAAGCATGAACAAAGACTTAATTAATAATGATTCACGCTTAGTAACTATGTAATTACTACCTGATTTATCACTTTAACTTGCACTTAATTCGCCTGTGCTGTAAATAGTTACTCATAAGTATTTCTTACTTAATTACTCATGAACTAAACATTTGTGTGTGTATTTGTAAATGTATATTTAAGTCCAAATTTGAGCATTTATTAATGATTAGTAAACCACGAGAGAATGATTTACTAATAATGCATTATTGTTTCTCTGGAGTTTAACCAACCTTAACAAATGTTTAATAAACATAATTCGTCTTCACTTTAGAAAACCTCTCAGAAAGACTTAACGAACAGATAACAGCTGCCTGAATGATCACTGCATTGTATTATTAGTAAATCATTCTCTCATAGCTTATTAATCATTAATAAATGCTCAAATGTGAACTTAAATATGCATTTGTAAACATGCAGATGGTTAGTTCATGAGTGTAGTGGACCAAACAGAAAGGCAAAGACAAGGTATAAAAATAAGTTTAAATTTAATAAAGTCAAAAAAAGATATAATTTAACAAAGGCTCAAATTAGGCAAATTATTAACAAAAAAAAAACTGGGCCCAACTGGGGAAACTCAAAATCAAACTGAACTGAACAAAACTAACCCGACCAGACAAAGGAACAGGTGTGTTTAAATACCTGAGGACCAACTAAAGCTGAACACAAGAGGGAGGAATTACACTAATTAACTAACTAAACCAATAACAATAATAATAATCAAAGTAACAAAAAAGCAAATAATTATAACACAGAAAATAATAAGTGATAATAACGTGACCTTAACACAAACTAAACAAACTAACTTAGTAAAACAAACTAAATAGTGCTTTCCCCCCCCTTTTCTGAGTCCTGATGGTCTCTCCCAGGGTCCTCCGCCCGGTGCTCAAAAAAACAAAAAGAACAAGTGTAAGTGAATTAGACTTATATTAACTAAAATGTGTGCACTCAAATTAGAACATAAGTCCAAATAAAGGAATTAATTATGTGTAATGTAATTCACTTAATGTAAATAATAATGAAAATTAAATAATACTGACACTATGGACGGTGGCAGAGGGATCCACCACAATGAGTAATTAAGAAGTATTGAGTGACTATTTACAGCACAGGTGAATTAAGTGCAAGTTAAGTGCTAATTCAGGTAGTAATTAAGTAGTTACTAAGCGTGAATCATTATTAATTAAGTCTTTGTTCATGCTTTATTAAGGCTAAATAAGGTGTAGTTATTATGAAGTGTTACCAACATGATTGATATTGCGCCTTATAATCCAAAAAATACGGTAATGAACCAATCAGACGTCTTCTTTTCCCAAGGTCACTCCCACTAGAGTTAGCAACAGGTTTGATCGACAGCTTTTACGGCTTGTTGCTAAGAAGAAGGGACATGTAACCTTTTACCCAAAACTTTTACCCAAACTACAAGCACAGTCTTTTAACCCTTCTCCTCAAGTGAAAAACCTGGGCATCATTTTTGACTCTGAGCTGACTTTTATCCCACACATTAAGAACATCACAAAAATTAGTTTTTATCACCTAAAAAACATAGCCAGAGTCCGCCCCATTCTCTCTCGGGCCAACACGGAGACGCTGATGCTTTTATCACCAGTCGAATAGACGACTGTAATGCCCTGCTCTCTGCTCTTCCCCTAAAGTGTATTTCAGGTTTGCAATTATTACAACATTCAGCAGCGCGTGTCCTGACGAGGACCAGAGGGCGGGACCACATTACACCGGTTTTAAAATCACTGCATTGGCTCCCTGTGAGTTTCAGGATCGATTTTAAAGTTCTTTTACTGTTTTTTAAATGTCTTAATGGTCTTGGGCCTTCTTTTCTTTCAGAACTGCTTTTACACTACGAACCCTCGCGGACCCTGCGCTCCTCCGGCAGCAGCTCCTGGTCATTCCCAAAGTCAGGACACACACTCACGGAGAGGAGGCGTCTTTTCAGTTCTACGGCCCCCGTCTATGGACCTGCAGCCGGAGGAGCTCAGGGCCAAAGAGAACATTCATGTTTTTAAGAGCAGGCTCAAGACCCACCTTTTTAGCTCAACTTTTGAATGAAATCTTATACTTTTACCTGTTTCTATTGTACACATTTTAGTATATTTATTTATTTTAGGCTTATTTTTTAGGATTTCCAGTGTTTCCTCTGTAGGAGCCTCTGCATCGGGAGCGGAGGTCGGCTGTGGCTGCCGGGTTCTGTCCCGTGGGCTCCTGGTGGAGAGTTGGAGCTTGGGCTTCATCTCTCCCCTGGCTCCTGTGGGTGGTTCCTGGTGGTGGTGGACGTCTCTCTGCTCCTGATGTAGACGGCTCCTCTGACGGTGCTTTCTCAACTGGTTCGCCTGTATTCAGCCTCACATTTTACTATAGGTAATTTTATGTATTTTACCATGTTAGGGCGTGTGTGTGTGTGTGTGTGTGTGTGTGTGTGTGTGTGTGCGTGTGTGCGTGTGTGTGTGTTTGGGTTGTTTGGTTGTGTGGGGTCGGGCAGGTGTGGGGGTTGGGTTGGTGGGTGGATGGAAATGTGGGATTGTTTTTAATCTTGTAAAGCACTTTGGTTTACATTTTTGTATGAAAAGCGCTTTATAAATAAAGTTTGATTGATTGATTGATGTACCTTCAACATCCTCTCTCCTGATTGGCTCTTTGGTTTCGCAGATTTCCAAATATGGGACTGGGCTCTGGATTTGCCGCTGTCTGGAGCCAAACACCGCAGGCGAGGTTAGACAATCGACCCCGTGGCGACGCAGGGACATCGGTTTGTTTATCGAGCGCATTTTAACGCTGTATTATTGCGCCGTCTCATATTTCTGCGGGAGTAGAGTTCGTCGGAGCCCCGTGGGAGCCCTCCGTATTAAATCGTAGAGAGTGTGTCAAATGAAAAGGCGAGCGGAGTCCAGGTCTCCTCCGTGACTCCTGGACCCGAGCAGCGTTTTTCATCTCTGTCAAAACATTTCCTCTGCTCTGAACACATAATTCTGCTGCACTCTCCACGGACCGAGGGGAGAGGCTGCAGGGACCGGGCTGCGCAGAAGTAGTGCGGTTGTAGTAGTGTGAGTAATGCAAGTAGAAAGTAGTAGAGGATACACTTCATTATCCTCGTGTCCTCTGCATTTGACCCATCTTTAAATGCCCCTCTCGTGTAACCCGTCGGGGGCAGTGCAGCGTCTCCGGGGACCCGTCCACAAACCCCGAGTCCAGATTAACTACAGAACAGTGGCTCAGTGGTAAAGTGTTCTCCCATTAACCCAGAGGTCAGTGGTTTAATCCTCGTACTGGACGTGAACAGAGCTCTAAATGATGCTAAAAACACGAACCGCTGCTTCCGAGTGGAGATACTTTTTAACAGCGCAATACGAGCCTGCTGAAGACGAATAAACTTTAACAATGTTGGAGCTTTTTATCACCACTCAAGGACATCAGAGGAAAACAACTATGATGGTAGCAGCAGTAGTAGTGGTGGTGGTGGTGGTGGTAGTAGTAGAAGTAGCAGTAGCAGTACCTTGAGCTCTGACCTGGTGGAGTCAGATAGCAATACAGTAGCATTTGTAGATTTAGTAGTTGTACCTTGACATCAGACACCTTGGTGTAGTGTGGTCGGACAGTTGTAGCAGTAGCAGTAGTATTTGTAGTATTATTAGTAGTAGTAGTGGTAGTATTTGTAGTATTATTAGTAGTAGTAGTAGTAGTATTTGTAGTAGTAAGAGTAGTATTAGATACCTTGGTGTGGTCAGACAGTTGTAGTAGTAGTAGTAGCAGTAGTATTTGAAGTATTAATATTTGAAGTATTAGTAGCAGTAGTAGTATTACATTTAGATCAGACACTTTGCTGTAGCTCTGCTCAGATCGTGTGTGGTCAGACAGTAGTAGTAGCAGTAATATTTGTAGTATTAGTATTAGCAGTAGTAGTATTAATAATAGTATTAGTATTACCCCCAGTTCACACCAAAGCGCAGCAGCACAACACACGAGCAGCAGACGTGCAGGTTTAGATTTCCATTTGAACCGGTCTGACAGTGACACCGACAGCGTCAGACACACGTCCAACGAGCGGCTGACGCTGACGCGCTGCTCGAGAGGTTGGAGCTTCTAATTTTGTAGCGTCAACGAAGCGTCTCCAATGTTTTTAGCAGCGGAAAGACAGGAAATAAACACGCGGTGTCAAAATAAACTTCCAGTGCCCTTTCAAAATAACTTAACCAAAGTCAAGACAACAACGTAAACAACGCGCTGTGTCCAAGGAAAGGTTAATGAAGGACGACGAAAAGTTAATCCTCGAAGTGGAGAAATATAACGTCATTCACGATGTCAGACACCAATTCTACAAGGACTCGGGACTAAGCCAGAACTAAACCAGAACTGAACTAGGACTCACTGTCAGAACGGACTCGAAGGTCCGCCCGTGTAGACTGTCAAGTGACTTTTATGTGCATGTTAATAGATTTAAACCTCACATACAAGATGAAGTAGAAATGCAGCTTTATAGATAGAGATATTGTAAACTTTATTTACAATATCTACAGTAAAATCAAATGTGTTCTCCAGTTCTACACTTAATTAACAACACACTTAATACACATTCTACATGTTAAGAACAAAAAGCAAGTACAAAATATGATGTCTGAAACTGTGAGAAGACGTGTAGGCTGCGCAGCAGGAGCGTCTCTGAGGCTCTGGTGTGAACTGAAACTTTTAAATTTACAGCATCTCCACCTACGTTAATCACTACTGCAGCTCCTGGTGTGAATTCGGGGTTAGTAGTAGTAGTATTACCTTTAGATCAGAGACCTCGGTGTAGCACTGCTCTGAGCACGTGTGGTCAGACAGTAGTAGTATAGTAGTAGTAGTAGTAGTATTTGTAGTAGTAGTATTACCTTAGATCAGACCTCGTGTAGCACTGCTCTGAGCGCGTGGGTCAGACAGTGTAGTAGTAGTAGTAGTAGTAGTATTTGTAGTAGTATTCCTTTAGATCAGGACCTCGGTGTAGCACTGCTCTGAGCGCGTGTGGTCAGACAGTAGTAGTAGTAGTAGTATTTGTAGTAGTAGTATTACCTTTAGATCAGAGACCTCGGTGTAGCACTGCTCTGAGCGCGTGTGGTCAGACAGTAGTAGTAGTAGTAGTAGTAGTAGTAGTTATTTGTAGTAGTAGTATACCTTTAGATCAGAGACCTCGGTGTAGCACTGCTCTGAGCGCGTGTGGTCAGTAGTAGTAGTAGTAGTAGTAGTGGTATTTGTAGTAGTAGTATTACCTTTAGATCAGAGACCTCGGTGTAGCACTGCTCTGAGCACGTGTGGTCAGACAGTAGTAGTAGTAGTAGTAGTAGTAGTAGTATTTGTAGTAGTAGTATTACCTTTAGATCAGAGACCTCGGTGTAGCACTGCTCTGAGCGCGTGTGGTCAGACAGTAGTAGTAGTAGTAGTATTTGTAGTAGTAGTATTACCTTTAGATCAGAGACCTCGGTGTAGCACTGCTCTGAGCGCGTGTGGTCAGACAGTAGTAGTAGTAGTAGTAGTAGTAGTATTTGTAGTAGTAGTATTACCTTTAGATCAGAGACCTCGGTGTAGCACTGCTCTGAGCGCGTGTGGTCAGACAGTAGTAGTATAGTAGTAGTAGTAGTAGTATTTGTAGTAGTAGTATTACCTTTAGATCAGAGACCTCGGTGTAGCACTGCTCTGAGCGCGTGTGGTCAGACAGTAGTAGTAGTAGTAGTAGTAGTAGTAGTATTTGTAGTAGTAGTATTACCTTTAGATCAGAGACCTCGGTGTAGCACTGCTCTGAGCGCGTGTGGTCGGACAGTTGGACGTTCCAGAAGCACGGCAGCTGATGCACCAGGACAGGGTTCTGTTTGATGAAGGCGTTAAAGATGTCCTGAACACAACAACAAAAACACAGTCACACAACAGTATACAAACATTATACAAACATTATACAAACATACGACAAACATACGACAAACATACGACAAACATACTGTAAATAGAACACTAAGGCCCGTCCACACTAGTTCGTATTGGAGTCGTTTTCATTGTGGATGCAGTGTTCATTCACACTAATCGGATGGAAAACGGCTCCAGAGACGGAACGATCTGGTGCCTCCAGCTCCAGATCTGATCCGGCACCGTGTGGACGCCTGAAAACACTGATACTCTGATGTAGAAGCTCTAGTGTCCGTCCTTATTGTTCCACATCACTGTGACTTGCGCCATCCTGATTCTGTGGGTTTGTGACATCGGTCATGTGATGCTATTGTGGAAAACAAACCAGAGACAAACCAGACACCAACGGGAAACAGCGGCGCTACTCGCTAGTACGCGGCCCACAAAAAGACTATTTTCACTCTCGCCATCTTCCTCGGCTCGAAATCGGCTGCTGCAACTTCAGACATGGTTTGCAGAACATCCCTCTGTCACAGAGAGAACACTCATATTCCACTGAGTCGTGTCCTTTAGTCCCACAGAAGCTAAACCGCTTCAGCGCATAAGGAGTGAGCTGTTTTTTTTCAGCGCTTAGTTTATGCAAATGAGCCAAGCGGTTTTAAAGGTTGTATAGAGGATTTTCCAAGGAACGAGAAATCCAGCGACTGTTTGTCCTTTTTCAAATGTTGCGCATGCGTGAAACCACCTCCCCTCCCCTACAGCTCCTACGTAGAAACACCTCCTCCCTCCTCCTCCTTACGCCAGAAACAGGTTTGTTTACAGCCGGTGCTGCACATGACTTGTAAACAACTAACTACAGTGTTGGTTAGGCAAGACGGAGAAGTGAGGAGCGGAGGGAAGAACGGAACGGGCAGCGCGAAGAGGAGCAGTAAAGTGGTGCAGAGAAGGTTGTGAATGAACTAACTACAACACGCAGCAGCAAGCGGACTCTTTCTTTGCCTTGAAAATTACGTTTTCAGACATAGGATATCACATTCGTGTCCTGAAAAACGTTTGTCTAGCTCTTGGAAATAAAGTACGTTTTCATAATAAGCAGAAGTTTCCTGTCCAGGAGTAATTTGTGGACCAGTGGTTCAGTCTTTAGACCCTTCGTCTGCTTCAGTCGCGCCATCGCTGGAATGAATCTACAAGAATCACCTTAGTTTGGCTTCGCTGCTTTTCCCCTTGTCTTCTTCTTTCAGCGACCTCAAAAACGGACTTTCTTTTGCGGCGAACTGCTCCTGGATTCTTGTCGCCATCGCAACAAACTTTGTGCGAACTGCGAGGAAGATATAGGTCAAAAAAGCCGCTAAGAACTGTTGTGTTGGTGGAGTAAACAGCGTCTGTGTGTCTTGCGTCTGTGGACTGCGTGACAGTCGTACGTAAACCACGTACCGGCGGCGCAGGCAAGTCAGTTACACTAGAAACGTAGGGAGATTGATTGACAGCCTGTCAGCTCACAGATAACGAGGCAGTGTCGTTATCTATTGGCAAATGTTTAGCCCCACCACGTCCAGAGTTGATGAATTTTTATTCTCTTTTTTTTTGGTCATCATAATTACAAGGCTACTGCACCTTTATAATCTATCACTGACAATTTGAAACAAAAAAAAATCCTCCATACAACCTTTAAGTTTCGCTTCTGTAAAATGTAAACAACTATGCCCAGAGCTGCGTGGATGGGGAAGGATTATGGACACAGTGTAAAGATAACCTAAAAGTTCAGAATTCAAAGTTGTTAAAAGTATCGGAAATCAGACAGGAACTGAAACTAAATCCAAAAATCGAAACTAGATCCTCATTTTCACAGTATCATAAAAGTCCCGCCGACAGGACAGAGCAGAACTTCCCTGAAAAGCTTTAGAATTAAATTTGCGTATCGTGAAAACACTAATCCTGGTTTTGTACGTCCAGTGTTTCGATACTGCGCGGACACTGTATACTTCCGCTCGGGTTGAAAAGGAGTTTATTTTGTGAAAGTTTTAACAGGAGCTTCATTTTCCAGTTTGAGGACACATCTGTATTTGCCGTGGCCTCAGATGAAGGGAAGGCCAAAGTTAATCAAATCCTCCATTGTGAGAGAAAATGGGACGGGAGACGGAGACGCACGGACGGCGAATATTGAATTAACTGGTCCACTTCACAAACACAGAGTGGAGCCCGAGCAAAGTTACATGTGCGAGGACGAGATTACCGCGGAGACGTCTTTCAATCAGCGTTTAACCTGCTCCAAACCAGAACTACACGACACCGGGTCAACGGAAAAGACAAGAACAGGGAGAAATGCCAGAAAAATATTAACAAATTTTTCTTTGAGCCAGGTCACAGTTTCAATTTGATCACGATTTACGTAACTTAATATTTTTATATAAAGGTCGTACATTGTGCAAAGTTAATCCGTGTGTCATTCGTTCGTTCGTTTTTTTCAATATAAAACCAAAAATAAGAAAATGAAAAAGAAAAAAAACAAAAAAACAAAACTATTTTCTTCATTATTTGTCTCCAAAACCAAATTGAAAAAAGAGATAAAGATTTGTTTTTTTTCAGTTTTCGATTTTGTGTTTTAAGTGCGATGCCGGACTGAACCAGGACTGAACCAGGACTGAACCAGGACTGAACAGGACTGAACCAGGACTGAACCAGGACTGAACCAGGACTGAACCAGGACTAAACCAGGACTAAAACAGGACTAACCAGGACTCCAGGAAACAGGACTAACCAGGACCAGGACTAAAACCAGGACTGCCCAGGGCTAAAACATTTTCAGTCCTGGTCTGGTCCTGGTCTGGCCCCGTTCTCAGTCCCAGTCTCTGGTCCAAGTCTGGTCCAGTCTGGTCCAGGCCTCAGTCTTCAGGTCCTCAGTCCCGGTCCTCGGTCTCAGTCCTCCTGTTCTGGTCCCTGGTCTTAAGTCCTGGTCTCGGTCCCGGTCTGGTCCTGGTCCTGGTTTAGTCCTGGTTCAGTCCTGGTTCAGTCCTGGTTTCAGTCCTGGTTTAGTCCTGGTTCAGTCCTGGTTTAGTCCTGGTTCAGTCCTGGTTTAGTCCTGGTTTAGTCCTGGTTCTCCTGGTTTAGTCCTGTTTCAGTCCTGTTTCAGTCCTGGTTTAGTCCTGGTTCAGTCCTTGTTCAGTTCTGGTTTAGTCCTGGTTCAGTCCTGGTTTAGTCCTGGTTTAGTCCTGTTCAGTCCTGGTTCTGGTTCAGTCCTGGTTCAGTCCTGGTTTAGTTAGTCCTGGTTTCAGTCCTTGTTCAGTCGGTTTTAGTCCTGGTTCAGTCCTGGTTTAGTCCTGGTTCAGTTCCTGGTTCAGTCCTGTTCAGTCTGGTTCAGTCCTGGTTCAGTCCTGGTTCAGTCCTGGTTTAGTCCTGGTTCAGTCCTGGTTTAGTCCTGGTTCAGTCCTGGACTTGTGTTTTGTTTCATTCACACATGTTTTGAGTAACTCTTTATTATTTGTCTGTTACATTTCCAAAACTCAAAATGCTCTGTTCCACCTTGTGATGTCATGAAGTGGTAGTTTTCAGCACTCACACTGTGACTTTAGAACTCTGCCCAAGCACCGATCACCCATAAAGCAGGGAACGTTTTTCCAATGTGACTGCAAAGCCCGGTTCGACTGCACGGTTCCTGCCCCGACACGGTTCGACTGGGACTTTGACCTGGTTACAACTTCACTCATACGATAAAAACAGTGAATAAAGTCGCACACTCACTCACCTTCAATAAGGAGAGACAAAAGTTTTGCAACTTCGTCTCCTCCTGTATCATAAAAGGACACATCTGTCTCACTATTTAATAGACATTTCTGCCGCTGGACTTATTTTCTCCGCTAAAGCGTTCGCTCTGCTCCCACACGTAAACAAACAGCACCGTGCACTGACGTCATCGGACTGTGGCTCGGTTCAGTTGTGCAGGTGTGAGTGCGGAACATAGAACCTGTACCATAATCGTACTTGAACATGACACGGTTCTTAAAGGTTGTATAGAGGATTTTTTTTAAGGGAAGAGAAATACAGCGACAGTCCCTGTGCGCGTTCAGAATTACTGTTGAAGTTTCCTGTCTAGAAGTAATTCAGCGACCGACGCGTCAGTTTTTAGACCCTTCGTCTGCTTCGGTCGCGCCATCGCTGGACGAGATCTCCAAGAATCACCTCAGTTTGGCTTTGCTCCTTTTCCTCTTCTCTTCTTCTTTCAGCGACCTCAAAAACGGACTTTCTTTTGTGGCGAACCGGTCGTGGATTCTCGTCCGCCGTCGCGACAAACTTTGTGCGAAATGCGAGGAAGCGACAGTTTGAAAAAAGCCTCTAAGAACCACGTAAACCACGTAATCCCCGCGCTCCGACGAGTCAGTTATACTAGGGAGTTTGATTGACAACCCAACAGCCAATAGAAAATGAGGGAGCCTCGTTTTCTATTGGCTGATGTTTATCTGGCCTCACTACGTCCACAGTTGATAGATTTTCGTTCTTTTTTTTTTGGTCATCATAATTACAAAGCTGCTGCGTCTCTGTAATGGTATTTTAATCTTTCACTGACAGTTTGAAACTAAAAAAAAATCCTCCATACAACCTTTAAGTCCCAGAGTGAGTGTGTCCTAAGAAACAGCTGCAGGGTTTAAACATGTGAATGAAACAAAACACAACTCCACTGTTTGTGATGAAGAAACAAGATTATAACAGAAAATAGTGTAAAACTTTTTAAATTGATCATCAGTGTTGGGGAGTAACAGATTACATGTACCAGAGTTATGTAATCAGAGTACAAATGATGAGTAACTGTATTCAGTTACAGTTACTGTTTCAGTGAGTGGTAATTGGATTACAGTTACTTTGTTGAAATAAATGGATTACACAGAGGGATTTTCCTGTTTTTACATTTTGGGCCACTCATTGCCGGAAACTATACCAGGTCTAAACTAGATCTAAACCAGGACTAATACCAGGTCTAAAACCAGGACGGAAACCGGATCTAAACTAGACCTAAACTAGATCTAAACCAGGTCTAAACCTTGTCTAAACCAGGACTAAACCAGGACTAAACCGGGACTAAACCGGGACTAAACCAGGTCTAAATCTTGTCTAAACCAGGTCTAAACCAGGACTGAAACCAGATCTAAACCAGACCTAAACTAGATCTAAACCTTGTCTAAACCAGGTCTAAACCAGGACTAAACCGGGACTAAACCAGGTCTAAAACAGGATTTAACATATTTTTATTTTCTTTTATCAGACAAAACATCTTATGTTACTAAATCCTCGTCTTTGTTTCTCTACAGCAAATCAAATAATCCAAAGTATTCAGATTACATTACTCACTTTAAGTAATTTAATGAATTCCGTTACAAACTACATTTTGGTGTGTGTAATCTGTAATCTGTAGGGGATTACATTTTAAAAGTCACTTTCCCAACACTGCTGATGGACATTTAAAAGCAGAATAAATAGACTTTTTATTTCCTGACCTGATCGGCCAGCGAGGTGCTGAGCATGTTCATGAGCTCCCGCTCCGCCGTGAGCCTCCACATCTGCTCCCAGCGCATCCGCCTCAGACGCTCCAGGTACAACAGGATCACACCTGCACACACACACACACACACACACACACAGAGACAGACAGACAGGTGCAACATGATTACAGACAGGATCACACCTGCACACACACACACACACACACACAGACACAGCACAGACACACACACACACACACACACACACACACAGACACAGACAGGTGCAGCATGATTACAGACAGGATCACACCTGCACACACACACACACACACAGACAGGTGCAACATGATTACAGACAGGATCACACCTGCACACACACACACACACACACACACACAGACAGGACAGACAGCAGATGCATTACAGACAGGATCACAGCACACACATGTGACAGCATGCATTACAGACAGGATGCACACACACACACACATTTCAGTCACACTCTGAAGTTTCCATCTCATGTTTCTGTCTAAATTGAGCTCTTCACATGTTCTTGTTCCTGAAAACCTCCTGTACATTATTTTTATTCTGTATCATAGTTGACTAAAATAATTTCTAGATTCGACTGGTCAAATTTTAGTGGGAGAATTTTAAACCTCAGTGTTTCAGAACAACACCAGAACACAGACTGGACTTTATTTACAGAGACAGGACCACACCTGCACAGGGACAGTTTCACATTTACTGTTTTGATTGACCAAACATGGATTTAAGTGGAGTCTGTTACGTAAATCGTCCTGGAGTTGACAGGCTGAGGCAGATCTCCAGTTTATTTATAGAAATAAGTTAATCTGTAGTATGAGACAAACTAGGAAACTTTACTTTAAGTATAAACAGAAGTGGCACAGTGAAATCTTCTGTAAACCAAACTTAAAGACAGTTTGGTCCTGAGCTTTATGTTGCTCTGAACTTGACTTCTGCCTCTGGCTCTGGAGACAGGAGGCTTCCACTCAGTCCCAGAGGAGGAGCACATGTGTCTGTAGGGCTGGTATCATTAAGAAGTTGTCGATGTGATACATACCTCAATACATAGGCCATGATACGTATTTCGATACAGTGCACTTTCGATTTGATAGGTTTCAAAACGCTTCGATACGGTTCAATAAAAATAAAGGCTAAATCATGTCTGTGATACTAAAAGTCTTTGTTAAACCACGTCTTGTGCTTTCATCAAAACAGTGAAAATGTCAAATGTGCTAGATGAGTTTCTTTCTTTAGTAACTAAATAAGTTATAGCAGCCCACGATATCGATACTGTATCATCACATTAAATGATACGATATATCGATATTTCAGTATTTTTAAACACCCCTATGTGTCTGTGTGAATCAAAGGACGTTGAAAATGAAATGCATTTTCTGTTCTACTGTCAGTTGTATCATGAGCTGCTGTCAGTTGTGTCTAATGTTTATTATTATTATGAGGACAGATTGGAGTATTTGTTTAAATGTAATGTTTTCAAGGTGGCTCAGTTTGTGTTGAAAGACTGGGACCTCCGTAAGAGATAGTGTCGTAGTAAGACCGGTCTGGGTCTTGAGACTGGCCTCGAGATCGTTTTTTGAGGTCTTGGTCTCGTCTCGGACTTGACCACGTTTGGACTCGGTCTTGTCTCGGCCTTGAAGGTGCTTGCACTCACTCTTGTCTCGGTCTCGAGGTCTGACACTCGAGTGATAAAACTGAAATACATTTATAAAAACATTGATATATTTGTGCCAAAATAACTGTAAAATACAAATAAATGTTGGTGATCTTGATTTGGTCTCGATGGGCCGTGGTCTCTCTTCGTCAACTCTTCGTCTTGTCTCGGTCTCAACCCTCAGAGGTCTTGGTCTTGTCTCGGTCTCAGGGCCCTGTGGTCTCGGACAGGTCTTGGTCTGGATTGGTGCGGTCTTGACAACACTAGTAAGAGGACATTTTATGTTTGATGTGGGATCAGTCTGCTTATTGTGTCATGTGTCTGGACTGGGCACCAACTACACGGTACATGACACTAAATAAGTAAATAAATAAATAGATAACACACTAAACTAAACTAAACAAGCTTTTAACATGGACCAGTGTAGAGTATGACAGACCTCAGCTGTACTGTAAGTAAAAAAGGCCATTAATCTGTAGGTCAGGGGTCTTCAACGTTTTTCAAACTATGAACTCCCAAACTGACGTAGAGCTGGACCAGGGACCCCCGACTATATATGACCTACAGTTGTGTTTTATATTCAATTGGGCCTAATGTCGTGTAGAAACAGCTGCTCTGTTATTGTACATTCAACAGTAGGAGGGCATTCTATCGAAGTCGTTGAATAAGTCCAGGATTATCCTGAAATCCTGAGCTGAATCTTGGTCCATCTCCAGTTTAAGCCTCAACTCGTTCCATGACAGAAATAAGCCTCTGACCAAAGCTAATTCAGGCCTGAAGTTTAAACTGCACTGCTGGTGAGCTCCAAGTGTGACTTTTTTAATGATCTGACTAAACGAGAGAGGAGCCACAGCGCACACGGGCAAGAGTTTGATTTGGGACACAGAACTTTTCCGGTCCTTCTGATCTGAGGAGAGAGAGCAAAGACACGACTCCCCCCTCCTCTCCTGTTCGCTCCCCGTCTTTTTCCGGTTGCGCAGAGGCGGATGTGGACTCCAGAGTCTGGTTAATACGCCCGGGGAATGAAGTCGCCTCACTCCTTCCCTATGTGCAGTAGTACGTGCGGCGCTTAAGTTCCTCTGTGTGTAAAAGTGAAGCTGTAACAGAACTCTTCACATGTACTGAACAAGAAACGATAAAATCCAGGCCAACATGTTTACAGTTTGAGAGGAAGCGAGAGACGAGGGAATGAAGGGAGACAAACAGACATGAGGAAGGAGCGAACAGACAGAACGCACCCTCATCCTCATCCTCATGAAAAAATATTAAACAAAAAAATGTCTAATCCACCAGAGAGTGTTTATTACATTCTTTTTCTTATTTGTCTTTTACCTGTGTTGAAGCCTCGTCCCAGCGCTGGCCACGGTTTGTGATTCTTCCACAGATTCCCCAAATACCAGTCGCTCTGATTCTCCACCAGACCAATCACCTGCTTATCTGAACATAGAAAGAGAGAGAGAGAGAAAAGCTAACCACTCTGCCACAGGAACACGGGGAGGACAACAAGGACTCTATGAAGACGTGGACTAAGTGAAGCAGATTTGAAGCCAAGTTCCATATTTGGGAGGGAAGTTTTGTCTGTTATTAATGTTCATATCTCGATTTACGGACAAAACAGCGAAATAGAAACACCAGGATCATGTGTCGCGGGTTAATACGAACATTTTAAGACCAAAATGTCGAGGCTCACAGCGGCGGATAAAGAGAGAAGGATGAACTAGGTCACACAGAGATCTCCCCGTTACCTGTGAACTTCCTGAAGATGCCCCAGAGTTCGGCGATGTCGGTGGCGAAGGTGATGTCGGTGTCCAGGACGATGACTTGACTCAGGTCCGGGGGCAGGGCCTTGGTGAGGGTCAGCTTCATCAGACCGTAGATCCCAGAGTAATGTTTGTTTGGAATCCACGACACTTCAGACTGAAACGCACACAAAGAGAGAGGAAGAGGAAGAGGAAGAGGAAGAGAGGGTTTGAATATTAAAGAAACTAAACACTTAAGCCTCAAGCGACATCAAAACACTGTAGAATTCTATAGTTTAAAGATCCCATATTACGCTGTTCTCTGATCTATTGGAGTCGGAAGATAATAGAATGCAGGGTAAAAGCACGTACACTAGGGATGTAACTAGGGCCCAACCGATATGGATTTTTTTTGTGGTCGATATGATACCGATAAAATGGGAGGTGGAGCTGCCGATATATTTAGACACGTGAGTGACGCGACTCTGTGGTATGTTCAGGGACAGTACGGCCACACACAGACAAATGACTCCACAGATAAATACTGATGTGGAGCCACATATTGGGACATTTCTCTGTCCATAAATTGGATTAAATGAACATAATGTAGAGCAGAAGTGTCAAACTCAAACTCACAGAGGCCAAAATTAAAAAAGTCGTGTCCCAAACTAAATATGTATTGAAAAATTTCAACAACTTCTGTATGTTTTCTCTTCTTTGGAGATATGTAATGTTAAACCTTTTCTTATTAAAATAAATGTTTAATAATAGTTTTGCTTAAACATTGAATCCAGAACAAGCAGAATATAAAATAATAACAACATTTTAAATAAATAATGTCTCTATAGTCGATCTGTAGTCGGCGGGCAGCTCTGATACATACTTGATGTGATCTCATGGGTCAAATATAGTTATATCATGGGCCAAATTTGGCCCTCGGGCCTGAGTTTGACATGTCTGATGTAGAGAGTCTAAGCTTTATAACAAAGTATAACAGGGCCACACTAAATATCGGCCCATATCGGCAAGATTTAGGCCGATAGTCGATATGTTTCCAAGTGCCCATATCAGCCAACTGAAATATCGGTCGGGCCCTAGATGTGACAATAACCGAAATATCGTGATATTATTTCATCAAAAGTCTCACAATAAAACCATGGGCTGTAACAATACATCGAATTACAAATTCCTTTGCTTAAATGCAGGTTTAATAGAAGCATCAGTTTATAAACATCAGGAACTACATATCCCATGATTCATTTCAGTGCAGACAACATGAAGAAATATGTTTTTTTTACTTGAATTCTTGGAATTATGATGGAAATAATTCACACCAAAATCTTGAAAAGGTATTTTAAAAGCAAAAAAACTGTCCATCTACAATTATACCTGCCTCTTTCAAATATCGCAATAAATATCGTACCGAGAGATTTGTATTTTGTTACATCTCTAGTTTACGCTCATGGACACTGTGAAATTGATCTGGACCAGTGAGGGATTAAACACAGATAAGGACACATGTGAAAAGAAAAGAAAGTAGTTTGATTTAATGTGGAAAATCACATTCTATTGTCTAAATTTTGGCATCGTGACAACACAATTACAAGACTTCCATTTCAGAAACAACTCTCGGGTCCCATTTCCTCCTTTCATAAAAACAGCAGCTAAAATAAAGTGGCTGCACTGTCGTCACAGAAACACTTAAGGACGACGTTTGAAGCTCCAATTTGAAGTTTGGAAATGGTCCCATCAGCGTTTGTTTTGGTTGATTATCTTAAACCAGGATTTGCACAGACAAAGCTCTTCTCCGGAGCAGTTAATGCGTCCATCTTTGATCACGGACGCCGGGTCGCCGTCCTCGCCGTCCACGCGCTTTGAAGCTGCGTGCGGTGTGCAAAACTCTCCTCTGAAGATGTGTGTGGTGTGCAGTGTGTGTGGTGTGCAAAACTCGTCTAAAGGTGTGTGCGGTGTGCAAAACTCTCCACTAAAGGTGTGTGTGGTGTGCAGTGTGTGCAGTGTGCAAAACTCTTCTCTAAATGTGTGTGCAGTGTGCAAAACTCTCCACTAAAAGAGTGCGGTGTGCAAAATTCTTCTCGAAAGGCGTGTGAGGTGTGCAAAACTCGTCTAAAGGTGTGCGGTGTGCAAACTCTTCTCTAAATGTGTGTGCGGTGTGCAAAACTCTCAATTAAAGGTGTGTGCGGTGTGCAAAACTCTTCTCTAAATGTGTGGTGCAGTGTGCAAAACTCTCCACTAAAAGAGTGCGGTGTGCAAAATTCTTCTCTAAAGGCGTGTGAGGTGTGCAAAACTCTCCACTAAAAGAGTGCGGTGTGCAAAATTCTTCTCGAAAGGCGTGTGAGGTGTGTAAAACTCGTCTAAAGGTGTGTGCGGTGTGCAAAACTCTCATCTAAAGGTGTGTGGTGTGCAAACTCTTCTCTAAATGTGTGTGCAGTGTGCAAAACTCTCATTTAAAGGTGTGTGTGGTGTGCAAAAGTCTTTTCTAAATATGTGTGCGGTGTGCAAACTCTTCTCTAATGGTGTGTGCAGTGTTCAGTGTGTGCAGTGTGCAAAAATCTCATCTAAAGGTGTGTGCGGTGTGCAAAACTCTCCTCTAAAAGTATGTGGTGTGCAAACTCTTCTCTAAATGTGTGTGCGGTGTGCAAAAGTCTCTAAAGGTGTGTGTGTGTGGTGTGCAAAACTCCTCTAAAGGTGTGTGCGGTGTGCAAAAGTCGGTCTTAAAGGGCCAGCGGTCACTTAAATCACATTTACGTTCAAACGGAGCAGAGGACACGGAAAAGAAGGATTTACCTTTGAAGTGATACAAGAAAGAGAGAGAGATGGAGAGAGAGAGAGAGAAAGAGGTGAAAAGAGAGCAGAAGAGAGAAGGATAGAGGGATGGAGGAAGAGAAAAAGAGAGGGAGAGGACAGGAGGGAGGAAGAGAAAGAGAGAAGGAGCGAGGCAGAGAAAGAAACAGAGAGAAGGAGGGAGAGGAAGGAAGAGAGAGAGCAAGAGGAAGGGAAAGGGTGGTTGAGAAAGAAAGAGACAGAAGGAGTGCGGAGAGGACTAGAGTAGAAAAGGAGAGAAAGAGGGAGAGAATGAGAAAGTGAGAGAGATAAAGAGAGAGTGAGAGACGAAGAGAAAGAAAGGGAGAGTATAAATTGAGAGAAGGAAGAAGTAGCAAGAAAGAGAAAGAGAGAAAGGGGAAGATAGAGTTTGTGTGTGGAGAGAGAGACAGAGAGAGGAAGAGAGGATGAGAGTGAAAGAGGGAGTACAAAAGGAGAGGGGGAAGAAGGAGGGAGAGAAGAGAGAGAGAGGGAGGCAGGAAAGGAGAGAAGGAAGACGTAAACAGAAAGAGATGAGTAGAAAAGGAGAGAGGGAAGACGCAGTAAGACGGGAGCAAAGAGAGAGACACAGCGGGAGAGAGAGGGAAGAGAAAGGAAAGGAGGGAGAGAGAAAGAAAGAGGGAAAATGATGGAGAGAAGAAGAAGCAAGAGGTGAGAGACAGAGAGGGGAGAGAATTAAAAAGTTGAAGAGAGAGAAAGTAGATATTGAGAGAGAGAAGATGTAGAGAGAGGAGGGAAAAGAGGAGGAGAGAAAGAGAGAGAGAGAGAGAGAGAGAGAGAGAAAAAAGAAAAGATAGAGACGGAAGAGAGGCAGAAAGAAAGAGAGGGACTCAGGTAGAAACAAAGAATGAGATGGAGAGAGTTACGAGAGAAAGACGAAAGAGATACGGCACGGAAAACGACAAACACTCCGGCGTCCATGGACATATTTTGGCCTGGAATGTTCCGCAGTACGGCATTAAACTTCTCCATCTCCACGGCGACTCCCTCCTCTCCTCCTGCGTCACACTTTTATTTGTGTTTAAGACGAAACCGAGTCCAGAGGGAAAAAACTAAAACAGCAGCAGAGAAAGTGTGAAATGTGCAAAGACCCGGTTTGATTTTCAACAAAGGAGGAACAACTACTACTACTACTACTACTACTACTACTACTACTACTACTACTACTACTACTACTACTACTACTACTACTACTACTACTACTACTACTACTACTACTACTACTACTACTACTACTACTACTACTACTACTACTACTACTACTACTACTACTACTACTACTACTACTACTACTACTACTACTACTACTACTACTACTACTACTACTACTACTAAAACTACTACTACTACTACTACTACTACTACTACTACTACTACTACTACTACTACTACTACTACTACTACTACTACTACTACTACTACTACTACTACTACTACTACTACTACTACTACTACTACTACTACTGCTGCTACTAGAGAGGAGGCGAGTAGGAAGAAGAGGAGGGAGGTATATTTATTTTGGTGAGATGTTGAGTTGAATATTGACAGTGAACTGTACAGACTGGAGATGGAAAAAAAACTCTGAATGAATCTTTCTGGAAAGAGAAAAAAAGAGCAATTTCCCATTTCAAATACTGAGATCAATTTTCAATATGTATTTCTCAAACTCTATTTCCGTTCACATTTGAAACACGTCTGAGCCTCGTGTATTTCAGAACATGTGTGCGGACGTCTGCTCCTCTCACACCAAAACTTTTCTCCAAACTTCTGTGTTCATGATCCGATTCACAATGTCTGTTTAAAAAAAAAGATTCAATTCAGAGTTCACGATGTAAACAACTCCCGGAGTGTTAAAGTGACACGGCGCAATTTCACGGAGGTCACCTGAAGGATTCCACGGAAACAAAGTACAAACCAAACTCTGAAATATTCTCCACGTAGATAGAAGTTTATGTCACGACGGTACGATATTTATTGAGATATTTTATGGAGGCTAAAACTGTGAATATTCTTCTTTTTCCTCTTAAAATGACTCGACAAGACTTAACCCGAAGAACTAAGACTTAAAAGTGTTAGAACTGTTATTTCTTCTTGACGTCTGCACTGAAAAGGAGCAAAGGATCATGGTCTATGTAGTTCCACTGCACCATAACTCTTCATTTAAAGGTTGTATGGAGGATTTTTTTTTGTTTCAAATTGTCAATGATAGATTATAGAGGTGCAGTAGCCTTGTAATTATGATGACCAAAAAAAAGAGAATAAAAATTCATCAACTCTGGACGTGGTGGGGCTAAACATTTGCCAATAGATAACGACACTGCCTCGTTATCTGTGAGC